ACCCTCCAGCAGGATGCCAAAGCATGACAAAATTCAAAAGTTTGAAGAAATAACCTGAAAAAAGATGACTTATCTCATTATGACTCAAATGTAGCGTTCATACCAACTCATTCTAACTTAATTTTATGAGATCTTTGAAACCCTTGAGATGATAAATATGAGTTTGGATGTGATCCTAGTAATTTCTTAATTCATCCTTGAACTCAACCATCTTCCCAGAGTTTCTTTTCATTTGTCTGATCTTTGGGCTGGGCATTGCCACATGGATTCCTCTATTTACAAAAGTTAACACAAAAATATAAATATTAGTAAATATTAGCCACATGTTTTTTTCTCTGCATAAGCACTTCAAGAAACTAGATGAAAATGGAATTTAAAGAAAAGTATTCAGACACAAACGGTTTGAATCTATGGTTACAAAGAAGCCTTCAAACCAGTTCATATTAATGTGAAAGAATAACAGAGAAATCTAAAGAGAGAGAAAATGAGAGAAAGCCACCGTTCACCAGCTTGTTCATGTCCCCCAAAGGCAACAACACCCAGGGCAAGTGCAAGCAGAATCCAAGCGTCTGAAACAATTTCTGGTTTCCCACAAGAGTGGCAGGCGCTTATATTGTAAGACTGATTCATGCTTCCCCAGGCGCACTGGCAGGTAGGTAGTTCAGAATCAGATCAGCTGGGGCTTCAACAGTTACTCCAGTACAGGATATTTGCATCAGCGGTGACAGCTTAATCAGTTGTGTGTAACACTGGCCCGGTGTTTTTTCTTTCTTTCTTTCTTTCTTTTTTTTTAAGATTTATTTTTTATTATTTTTCATTGGAAAGGCGGATATACAGAGAGAGGAGAGACAGAGAGGAAGATCTTCCATCCGATGATTCACTCCCCAAGTGAGCGCAACAGGCCGATACTATGCCGATCCCAAGCCAGGAGCCTCTTCCGGGTCTCCCACACAGGTGCAGGTTCCCAAAGCTTTGGGCCGTGCTCGACTGCTTTCCCAGGCCACAGGCAGGGAGCTGGAAGGGAAGCGGGGCTGCCGGGACTAGAACCGGGGCCCATATGGGATCCCGGGCGTGCGAGGCGAGGACCTTTAACCACTTGCGCCACCGCGCCGGGCCCTCTTTATTTTTTTGTTTTAGATTTATTTATTTATTGGAAAGTCAGATATACAGAGAGGAGGAGAGACAGAGAGGAAGATCTTCCATCCAATGATTCACTCCCCAAGTGAGCGCAACTGGCCCGGTGTTTTTTAAGAAAGTTCCCTTCACTTTTAGAGTTACTACCAAATATTTACTAACCATATTTAAAAATATCAACAAACTGCTAAGAGAATCCCTAACTATTCCTAGCTGTTCATTGATTTCTGAACCTGCTGAACTTAGTGCAACGTGTAGGATGGGTAAGATAAGCTTACATTCATTCAGTAAGAGGTGAAAGAACGGATTATATATGAATGCACACATATATATACACATGTACATACCTATAAGTATAAATATATGTATGTTTATAGAAGATGAGCTGGGAGTAACTGTAAATTATGAATAGTGGGTCTTAGTGAAATATTTCATCTTTAAGACTGAAATCTGGATTAATTGGAATGACTCACATTTTTAATAAGAACATTACAATTCTTACCCCCATCTCAGAATTACCTTGAAGAAATGACAAAATGTTGAAGAAACACCTACATGCCAATACACACAACACACACACACACATACATAGGTGATTTCTAGTATTAATTTTCCAACAGCTGTTTTATGACTTCGTAATTTAATCATTTGCTTTTGTCCATGTTTCACGTTGTACACTTGGATTTAATTAGGATTTTCTAGGTCTCTTCCAATTCTAAAGTTAATAGTCTTAATCAGTATGAACCATAAAGGTTCTATGAATATTTTCAATTAAGCAAATAAGTCTGGAATTCTTTAAAACACACAAAAAAATTAATTGAGATGTAAAAATCGAGTGTATTCAGAAAATAATGTGGTGTTATTATTCCACATTTGATTCTTGAATGTTTAAATTCCTATTTAAACTCCTCATTAGGTCAGATTTTTTTTATAATTTGAATAATGATGAGGAGGCTATGTTTCTGAAATTGTCTGTAATTGCCTTTTTCTCAGATTAGCTCACTATGAATGTCAGTGCCATTTAAAAACTTATATGCATTTTAATTTCATGTATTAAATTCAAGCTTTGATATGTATTTTCTCTTATGGTTGAAGAGAATATTGCAATGAAGAAAATATAGGTCACTCTAAATTTTTTGGCTATATCTTTAAATGTGTATTTTGTGTATGCTGCTTAGGGGAAGTAGGTGCATAGGAAACTAAAACAAAAAGTGGAATGATGATCTTTCAGTTCAAATGCACAGTATTTACACCTATGATGATCTTTCAAATTGGGTAGCTGTGTAGTATGACAATAATGCAGGCATGGATTGATTCCCATTTGCGAAAAGACAGTACATATATGTTATGAAAGTTTCCTAGATGTTACTTCTGATTAAGTGGAAAAGATAATGTTTTTAACCTGTGTTTGTTCCAGTAACTCTGGAATCATCTGCTTATAGGTGAAGTTAACTTTAGTAGGTTTAGCATAGTGAGGGAGATTATCACTTTGACCAGGGGTACTACTTAGCTTGGTTTATTGTAACAAAATACCACAAACTGGGTAACATAAACAACAGAAATACCTTGTCTTGTTCTTTAGTAGTCAAGGTTGGTTGCTTCTATGGTCTGGAAAAAAATCTATTCTATGCCTCTTGTCTAGATCAGGTGATTTTCTTGGAATCTTTGATGTTACTTGGTTTATAGCATCTCTGACTCATTTTCGCCTGCCATCTCCCTATAAGTAGCTCCTTTCTATAGGAATTGGGACCTAAACCAGTTAGTACAGGATGACATCATTACCACTTAACTGGCTGTATCTCTAATGTCCTAACTCATCATATGGGTCATGTTTTGAGATACTGATGGTGAGAACGTCAAACTTTGAATGTGTAAGGGAAAGAGTTTAAGCTGGGTTTAACAGGTTGTCAAAATGAAGATGTTAAAGAACAGTACAGATGAGGGTATAAACCTGGGCCACATGGATTCTATGACAAGTCTTCCAAAGTATTTGTGCGAAACATGTAGAGTTTCTTTCAAATTAGTTTCAGATCAATGGACGAACTGATGCAAGGATTTGAAATGTACTTTCATTAACATTTTGTCTGGGCGCATACACTACAGAGGACAATCATGGTTTAATTATTCAAAATTGAGCATATGCTGGGGTGATTTAGCTTGGCCTCAGTTTCCCAATGCAGGAAGTTCAGTTTGTAATGGAACTGTTTGATATGTAGGGAGGTGGGATCACTTTGCTTGAACAGTCCACATCCTTTTTACATCACAGAATGCCAGCATCATTTCAATTTTCTCTTCCATCGTTGACACATTCAAATTAGTCTGTTTTGTTGTTAGGTAATTCTCATAAATAGTACTAACAGAACTCAACTTCAATGTGTTTACTTTTTAGTCTTGGTGTACATTAGATTAAGTCTTTCAACTTCATGCTAGTTTTAGAAAGATTTTCTATGTTCATTGATCTATCCACTCATCTATATCCTCTCAAATATTCTGTTTTCTAAACCAACAAACTTGTTCCTTAAAGTTTTCAAGTACATTTTTTATAATATAACCAAGAATATATTTTAATCTGTGTTTATTCTAATAAACTTGAAAGCATGAGAAAGAAAGGGAATATGGGAGTTAAGACGGAAAGAGAGTGAGAGAAACGTTTCATCTGCTGGTTCATTGCCCAAATAACTACCACAGGTAGGACTCAGACTGAAGCCTGCAGCTGAGAATGCCAGCCAGGTCTCCTGAGTATGTGTGGGGCACCAGGAATTAAAAGGTCCTTCACTGCCTCTCAGGTGCAACAGAAGCAGAGAGGCCAGTGGCAGGAATCCACAATTCTTTTTTTTTTTTTTAAGATTATTCATTTTTATTGGAAAGTCAGATATACAGAGAGGAGGAGAGACAGAGAGGAAGATATTCTGTCCAGTGATTTCACTCCCCAAGAAGCCTCAATGACCAGATCTACACAAGCAGAAGCCTATATCCTCCTCTGGGTCTCCCACCTGGGTACGGGGTCCCAAGGCTTTCGGCCCTCCTCCTAGGACACAAGCAGGGAGGTGGATGGGAAGCTGGACCACCAGGATCAGAAACAATGCCCGTATGCGAGTCAGGTGCATGCAGTTTGAGGACTTTAGCCACTAGGCCATTGTGCTTAGTCCAGGAACTCACACTGTTATTTTAAGGAGTGGATGATCCATGAAGTAGTTTAAGAAATTTTGTCTGCATGTCCTACCTAAAGGGCATTGTTTTAAACAATAACATTTCATATTTTGTGTCTCTTGTTTTTTGCAATTTGACTTCACCTATAAAAATAGCATGAGTAGAGTGATTTATTTTAACCATCCTAACGTTATAATTCTGATGCAATATGTTTTGACTTCATTGGCAGCATATAAAGCCATATGGTAGTTCTACCCAAAATACACTGGAATCTAAGTATTGTTTAGAAGTTTGGCAATGTTTGGAATTTCATGCATATTCACTTACATGTTTCTAGGTGATTAAATTTGTCAAAAACAATCCATTCTATCAGTTATTATTTATGACATGTACAAGCAATTTTAGATATGGATTTTGTAGTCAAAGTGTCTACTGCAAGTCTGCACTTGGGGGAAAATTAAGAGACATGCAAGAATTATTTCTTTAAGAAAACATTTGGTACCAAATATACATAATGTCAAGTGTTATACAGAGTTCTAAACATTTTTGTTGGCAAATGTGGCTAATTAGATCAGCAAAATGAAAGCCGCCATCTATACATAGCTCACGGTCATTTAGAGTCCTTTTGAATCTTTAAAAATATCCAACCAACATTTTCAAACCAAATCACTGAAGAATTTTTCAAATAATTCTTTTCTTTTTTATATTTACCTCAGGGCCCAAGTTTTCTCTCCGAAGCCCTTTTTCTGAGACATTCACGAAGCATGGAAGAACTGGATCCTTTGTTCAACCTGCATGAGTCTATCACTAAGGTAGGGAAGAAACGTCTTCCTGAAAAGAATGGAGGTGTTCTGTCCTTTCCCTCTCCCACCCCACCCCTTTGGTGTAAGAAGAGAAGGAAATCAACCAGTTACCTGTAAAATTAAGTTTATCTGTTTGTGTGTTTATCTGTTATATAGGCCAGAAAGCACTTTAACATACCTACCCTACTCTTTTGTAAGTGATTACAGATTATTAGCAACTGTTTCAAGAACATGCGAATCTAAAAGCACTGAATTGTGATAAAAAGAGATCTTTACCATGCAACTCATTTTTTCTCACTCCTCAAGGTGGTTTTACGGTATATTCTCAAACACAGCACTCTCCTTTGAATTAAGGGTGATAGAAAAATCCATCTGAATCTACCTGTCTTTAGTTTTGACTCGGTCTTTAAGGTACAAATCTGTTCTTGATTTCAGTATCAGTTAAAATTGTGCTCTTTTAATATGGAGATTGCTTTTATAAGAAGTGTTTGTAAACCATGAGGGCAATGCTTACATTTTCACTGTATTCTCCTAAATGTAAGTTTCATATATAAAGAAATTAAGTTTCACAACATGAAGCAAATAAATTTACTGAAATGACAGCATAGGAATTTTTATATCTACCAATATTTATTTGACTTGTCATAACTTGCCTTTGGGGTATACAATTTGTAGAGTATATCGTCACTTCAGTACCATTGAAATAATCCACATTTATGTATGCGTATTTCAAAGATTTGATCATTTTCAAATCTTGGTGAAAGTTTAAAAGGCTGTTTTTCTTGTAAACAGGAAGTGATATAAAATGAATTGAGTTCAGGGAAGGACAATAGAATGAACTCAGAATATATATACCCAAAGTAATGTCTGTCTCTGTCATGTAAGAACTATGTGAAGATTTTTCCAAACATTTAAAATAATAGATTGAACTATGTTTTACTGCAAGATTTCTTCTAAATTCAAAATATTTAAATCTTAATTACATATTTATTTCATTTTCCTTTCTAATCCTTCCAAGTTCCAAGATGTAGCTTGTGATCTTTGGATAATCATTTAGTAGCTAGAGAGAGCAAAGTAGGTATGACTCCAAAGTACAGCCTTAGCATTGGAAATTCAACCGAATCCCAAATGTTTCCTGATAGATAATAGATAAGCAAATATGTACAATCATGAACACATAAATGCATTTATATCAATCATATTAATTCAGGTATTTTGAATATTTAGAGTCTACATTTATTTGTTTTTGAACAAAGACATCAAGATGTTCAAAGCAATGGAAGTAAAAATACTTTTTCTAGCTTCCTCTACTTTTATATGGATCTGAGAAATTGAGTATTTTGTTGGAAAGGGCAACTTGAGACTGTTTTTCATAGTTTCTAGTATGCACTATTGCTAGCCAGAGAAAATGCTAGTTTTGATGTTCTTGTCTGACATCTTGGCTACGCTTACAAACCCATTTCATACAAGCACACTGTATGTTGGAGCAGGAAGGATGGCAAGGATTGCAAGACACGTATGACATGCATGAACATTTATAAGAGGTCAGCGTTCCCTGTGAAACAAGGAGGCCTCTTGAGAGACGATACAAATTTGATGACATGTGCTTTAAAATACGTTTGAAGTATTAAAAGGTATTCCATTATCTAAGTGAATAGATAACAAAACCATTCTTTCTGTGAACATGACAAAATTTGCTCAAGTGCAGAAGCAAAAGTCCCGTGCCTTTTTGCCATCACATACATTTATCCACTGCTGACTGTATCTTTCTGATCATCCTACCTGCACTGGTTTTGTAGAAACTGGTCAGGGCAAGATATTATGCTTGGCAAGTTCAGTCTTTTTTTTTCCTTTCACAAGCAAATAAATACCTGGCAGCTATAGAAGGTATTAAATGTTATTTGTTTTGAATGCCAAAATTTCACAAAATTAAAGCATCTATAAAAACAAATGACCTTAGTACATGCTTAGGAAACATGCAGTGTGGTTTTTAGTTTTATCTTGACTATGAAATCATTATGTTATTTTCTAGCAGCTTGTTTTATTTTCTACACAATAAGAAAGCACGCTCAGAATGCCCCTGCATTATCAATGGGATTCTGGGAGGTCAAAACGGGTGTGTGCATGTGTGAGTGTGCGTGTATGTTTGTGTTTAACAAAGATATGAAAACATGTAGCCACATTAACCTAAATGTTAAAAATACACTAAGAATGTACACAAATGAAATCTAAATTTAATTTGTGAAGAGTTGACACATTGAGAAAATGTTTATTTCACTAAGATAATAATATTATGACAGCATCTATCACATTTTGACACTGTGTTCCATATTCTTAGTGTGACACTGCAGAGAAAACAGTTTTAAAAAAGAATCTAGGTAGATACAAATTCTCAATTCTCAATTCTTAATTAGGGCAGATTTTATCAAATGTAATAATCTATAAAATTGTAAAACAATTATTGGTATTATACTAATGAAATATTATTTCCAAAAATAGAAGTAATTAAAATGTTAAAGATAATATGCTTTATTTTTCCCAGTAAAAATGTGCACTTGGTATAGCACTGTGATGTAGTCATATATATTGTGTTAGTCAATGCAGTATATATGTATTTATGTAGATGATATATTTTCATTGTAAGTAATTTTGCATGAGATTAAAATTTAATTTATTTGTATTAGAAATTTTATGTATTATTTTGCTTAAATTAAACTATATTTATAGGTAAATAAACCTCTACATACACTAACACAAGTAAGTATGACCCCTAAATTCCTGATAAATATTTTTTCATGCTGTCCTGATTTTTTTTTTTTACAAAGTTTGAATTTGTCTTGGCATTTGTCTTTTTGATATAAAGCGTGAAAGTAATGAATGAGACTCAATATTGATGCCAAAAGGTGTAATTTATCAATACTGCTGTGGCAGTCAGGTGATACAGTATAAAGCTGCTGAAGGGCAACTCTGGCTGTGTAGATGTGAAAGATGCTTTTCTTATTTTCTATAATTACATGAAAAAAGAAACCCAGAACACTTGTGCTGTTAGAAATTACAAAAATGAGCTAATTCCTTCAAAGACAAAAATGTGATTAAATACTACCAGCTTAATCCTTAAGTGGATGAAGAGTATCATGAGAGATTCATGTTTGAAATAGGCTTATTTAGTCTTTCTTCTTTGGATTTTCCCAGTTATGTTTTAAATCGTCAACATTTAGCTCATACGTTTTTATTAGTAACTTATCAGTCTGTGTAAGCTGGTAAGACATGAGCATTATAGAAACAGCTCATACGCAACAGGACAGCCAAGGGAATAAACCAGGCTAATGAATCTTTTAAAAGATCCCTTTAAGGGAAGACTACCCAATTGGTGACGCGTGCAAAATGTGGAAGGGAAGAAGTTGGGAGTTTAAACTCCGCTTATGAGATTTGAAAAAGTCACAGGACAGGCATGATGGGATTCAAGCAATTCAAGCTTCTTCCGAATCTCAGTGGCTTTCCCCTGGGAGTGCTTTAAGATCATTAGCTGGTGATAATGTGCAATAATGACACATAATTTGAAAATGGAAGACGGATTGGAGTCCAGTTTCAACACTGAAAAACTGGTTATGTAATGTATGACCTGTGAAGTAGAATGGATGGACTATTCATGTTAATAAAAAACAAGTCCTGCAATCATCTGCAGTTATTGTGCCAATCAGTGAAAGAAACAACAAACCATTTCAGCAAATTTACATATATAATTCAGGAAGTGTTAGTGTCATTCCATAAAGTAACTTTCCAGTAACTTTAAAGGAATTCTAAATTTTGCACACTCTGAATAAGCACTTTTCATGTTTTAGAAACTCAGCAATAGGCTAAAAGTTAGTTTTGTTAATTTTTGCGTTTCTTCCACACTTTGAAGAAGGCAATGTGTTTTGACAATGTTTCCTGATAATACTATTCTCAAAACATTGTAAATGTACAAAGACAACAAGAAGAATGATCGATGGATAACAGCTTAACCTCTAGTAGGAAAATCAATTTCCCATGTCAAACATGCTGTGCAAATATAAACTACGTACATTAAGAAGATTTAAAAGTTCCAATTGATATCTAATATTTAAGAACATCTGATATAACCCTATGTAGTCTCATCTAGTTTGTTATAATAAATTCTACTGATGATACTTCTTGGAAACTGTACCCATTACTTCAGTAGGAGCCTGAAATAAGGGATGATCCTATGCTAATATGCAAATGAACAGACACGATGTCATTTGATAGGAAGCAATTAATGTTGGTGTTTAGTGTAAACATCCTCACTAGTATTCCCTGATTAAGCTCTAAATTATGTTGAAAGTACTTCAAGAATTTCCTGAGAATAATATTAGTGAATAATTTTGTTTTGTTGTAAAAATTAAAATCCATGAATAATTATTGATATTACATATTTAAGATGACCCTTTTGGGGCCCTGCTGTGTATGCACAAGTGTGTGTATTGCGGCAAGAAAAGTTCTCTGAGAACGTGTCTGTGCACAAAAGTGTGTGCGTGTAAATTTGTGTGTGTTTGTATGCATGCAGTCTTATCTACAAAATTTCCAACACTGAAATTTAAAAAGTACAAATCAATTAGAATCTTTTTTGTGCTGTTGTTAACAAAGACTTACATATGGTATTGTTTACCAGAAGTAAAGCAGTTCTATTGGCTCATGTGATGGCTAAAAGAGGCACACTTCAAAAAGGCTTCGAACACAATTCTGGATCCACTTACTCTGCTGCCTTCAGTTCCACTGTTATTTATATTGGATATTTACCAGTGAAATTCCATTATAAAAGAAAAAAAATCTGTTAGCCGTTTCTGAAATTACGAGTATATAAGTCTGTGAGATCAAGAGAGGGCCTCTCTTCTGATGACATTTTTCAGAACAAGGATTTCATTTTTCAGCAAAATTGACCAACCTCCTAGAGGTCTAAATTAGTCCTAGGCTGTATTTTGAATGATATTTTTCAACCATGCAAATAGCTT